GACTGCGAGCAACAGTTTCGGAAGGTTTTGTTTTCCTCCTCTTGTCTTATGCTGGTGATAATGCAGTAGTACAGTAGAAGACTGCCAATCAGAATATGATCAAAAGCTCAATCTGTACCATCTCAATCCAGATGTCCGTGCTGCGAAGGGATGGGTCCGACCTGATTTTCACCTGTTTTCACTAACTCTACCATTGGGAAGAGCCTCAAGCAGACTCTCAGGTCCAAAATTCGCATGACAGCAGACATGACGCAGATAGCCAGGTGGTGCATGAAGAACCTCAGAGCAATGCAGCGCGAGAACTGAAGAATTTGTATCTTGACAGAAGGGAGAGATGCTGAGCCGTGGATGAATGACTCAAGGATTAAGGTTTAAGAATCAATGACTCCCAGCCCGTATTCTTCAAGCTTCGCCGTGAGGATATGGTAATGTCATCAAAAGCTTTGAGCCGTTTCTACATCTATGCCTCTATATATTATATTATATGTTCATCTTCTCCATTCTTCTCCACTTCAACGATTTTCTTGCCTTTGTCTTGAGGTTTGAAAGCGAGATGTGTGGCACTGACATGCCGAAGGTGGGAATCAACTTGCAAGATTTTTCCGATGGATTCGCAGCCACACAATTCTCAGCCTTTATTGTCACTTTTGTTGCTAAAGCAGCCATATCAGAGCTATTGAGGTCTGCACCATGACAGGGTTCCCAGTTGCAATTTCTTGGAGTCAGCAAGGTGACCCTCATGGACTTCATACCATGGGCCACGCGTGTCCGAGAATCGCAGCGAGAGCAAGTGCGAAGCCAACATGGATTCGGCAAGGACAGGCGCCGTTTTTTCTGTGCTTTGCATTTGATCTTGAAATGCAAAATTATTCCCAGGCCGTACCGAAAGCAGGAGAATTGGACCAGTCTTCCAGTAGTGCTTGGGAAAACGATGGAAAAAGTGGCAATTTCTCTTGGGGTTGCTGAACCAAGGGCAGCCTGATACCTGGCAAGGGCGCATTGGTGATGCTATCCTGACTGCCCAGGAGGAAGTTGAGTCTTTCCGGCAGGACTTCCAAGAACATTCGAAAGGAAACACGATACGCCCGTTGGATTTGAGGTCGCTGGTCTGGGTTCATTCTCACCCCTTTGGAAAGAGAAATAGTTTCATGCTTCAGATTGTGCATATACACAATGCATCATACTGATCGTACTGCATCATAATACTATACAATCTGTTACAATCATAGGCTTTGAAATGTTTTCAAATGCATTTCACTGAGGTTCCGAGACTGTGTCATTTTTGTCCGGTCCAGACCTGGATAGGCGTCTTCTCACGGAGAAGTTCCCCATGATGGCGGACAAACGTGCTATGAAGGACCACCGATCCAAGCTGAGTGACTTTGCTGCTCCCGAAAATTATTACAGTAGGTGAAAGTCGTGATGCAGTCGTGATCCCCAGGTCAATTGCATGTAACTTCAAAATTTGAACAAGTTTGATAAGACCATGGTGGACCTCACATCAAACACTATTAAACAAGGACAATTTCGTCAGACGTCCATCCAAAATCTGCTGCTATGAAATCCACACACTTAATTAGGATGGCAATGGTTGCACTATGTTGCAATATGTTGCAATATGTTGCAATCCTTGACATTGAGGTGAGATTCTCGCCGACAAAGGGCCTGTGAAGCTGCTGGAGTTTTTGGCTTTGGCAAGGATTTGCTCCTTGGCAGTGCATGGTGATTGGCCATGGATACAACTGGGAATCAATGCTGGTCACACGAGGAGCTGAACACAGGCTTTGCACAAGAGATAGGTGCACTATGGTGCACTTATTGCGTATTCCCTGTAATCTATCTGGAAGTTTTACTCATTTCAATTCATGTCACTTCGTGTCACTTCATGTCATTTCATTTCATTTCGTTTGTTTCCCACTCAGCAAGACAAGCCAGTGGTACGTTATATAATTTTGCAAGCTTTGACCGGCATTGCCTGCAAGTTGCATGCCTCTATTTTCAGTGTGACTTTTCACATTCTTTGGATGCTTGCATTCAATGGTGTTCGCTAGGTCGTAGTCTCGTGTTTCATCAATGCTGTTGAAGAGGACATTCCATTCGAACAGGTCATGACATTATTGAGTTTGACAAGTTGAAACGAGAACGCGATGCAATCCAGAACCTTGGTCGCACCAGGCCGAGCAATTCAGCAGTCTGACAACCGTGTGAGAGGGGTTGTGGTCATGGGCCCGACTCAGGATCACCGGCTTCACCTCTGCAGAAGTTGATGAATTCCGCGGCCTCTTCATGGATCATTCCACTGACTCCGGCCTGCCCGGTAGCTATCGAAACCGTGCCTTGATTGCACAGGGGTGGGCTCTCTTTGCAAAGGGATGCGTCGAACGCCACTTCATCGCGCAGCTAAGGCATCACCTTCAAGGAGCTCAAAACGCAACTTGTTGGCAGAGGTGCACACTGCAGAGTCAGACAATGGTAGAAGGACACGCTTGCTGCTGGATCTTCAGCCAGTTGTTAAGAGCTTGGGGTAAAGTTTGTATTTGCTTGTAGCCCTTCTGTCTCGAAAAGGGACATGTCACTTACGAAGCTTGCTTTTGCGCGCCACCGAGGTTGTTGCACAATGTGATCCCTCTTGGTGATGGCAATATTCAGGCCCATGCCTGTGGCTGATGGGCCGTACATTTACCAGGAAGCCGCTGCACATGGAGAAGTGATTGCACCACATGAAGTGACACTGATGCTATGGCAAGCATTTGGTGGTAAGTAATTTCCGTCAGATTTCCATGTGAAAGGTCTACATTAATTATAGGAAAGACCCATCCAACATGCAGATGTCGAAGTTGAAGCAACTGTGAGGTTTTGAAAAGGCACCTGCGTCTGGTGCACAAGCACGCTGGAGACGAGCCTCGGTAATGAAACATGTCGCGTCAACTGAGTGTTATTTGGTTTCAACATGTTTAAAACTCGCCTGTGCTGGCTCATGATTGACAAGACAGTCCATTGAGTTGTTGAGGGAGCAAAGTGATGGACTATTAGCATGTCATCGCTCCATCCGGTCATTCAGTCATATTCAGATTATTCAGTCATGAGCCATCTCGTCAAGGATTCTGTGAACTTTGTGGAGTTTCTTCACCTGATGCGACACTTGCTGGATGTGAACTTTGCCGGAATTGCGGAGCTAAGCACCGCAGCTGCATCGGCGGAAAGCATGAGAAGCAGCATCAGAGCTTCTGCTTCTTTGCACATGTTCTAAGGGCATCTCTCAGCAAGGGGATGCCTCTTTCAGAGTTCATGGAACGGCATTAGGTTTGCACAGGTCGCATTTGTTTACCAGACTCACAGATTTCAGATTCTCCAGTGGTCTCGCACATGCCGCTCAACTTGTGACATTCCGCTGAGCCTTCGCATCACGCCAACTTTTTTTGTTGCATCATCCCAGGCAAGACCAGGACTGCCGATGATGGAAATGATTTGTCTTGAGGAACCCCTGAACCCATGCCCGCCATGAGCCAGCTTGAGCCAATGTAAAACATCTTCATTTTATCTTTGGAAAGAGTGGTCAATGAGGCACTCAGTCTCCAGGAAATGTGTTAGTGAACCTGCTGGGTGCATGCTACCATCAGGAATTGCGAGCATTCTTCATGATGTTCCGTACGCTTTATTCTTGTGTTCTTGATAGGTAAGTGGCCTTGCCAAAACTATGCTACTTGCAGGTTGTGTTGTCATTTTCTCTTCCATCCAAAGGGGAGCCATGCACACAGCTTCAGATCAGTAATTTGCCCCAAAGGGGCGGGTACGTGAATATACACCTTGGGTTGCTGTTCCAGACGGATGCAATTCAAAGACAGAATCAGGGAAGGCCTTCCCAACCGCGAGCGCCAGCTTTTGCGGTTCCGAGCACGTGTTTAAGCGAGAGAAATGTGGCTGCAGGATAAGACCTGAGTTCCGACAAATGCCGCACGATCTTCCCCCGCTTTTCCCCTGGGCATCTTACTTGCTGATCAGGCAAAGTATTCTATCCTATGCTGATAGCGTTCTGGGCTGGTCAATTCCCATTTCATATCCATAGAGTGCTGCAGGGCTGCCCGTTGGTTCAAAGAGGAATTGGCCTTCCTCAGCAGCTTTAGTCCCCAGTTGCGATATGCCATGGCTTAAAGCGGGGATGCTCTTGTGGAACACGACAGTCATGGTGGAACACGACAGTCATGGCGGAAGTCTCTTGGCTAAATTTAAATGGCAATACATCATTCCAGGATTGGTATTTTTTGACAAAAGAACTGCAAGCCAAAATGTTGCTAATAGTGCGCCTATACTTGCAAGTTTTGGCGAGTAGAAGCCGGTATACTTCAGCTGGTGACCAGATTCCTTTTCCAAGCATGACTTGCACATCCTGTTGCATGGCTCTGTAGCGCCAAAGATCTCAAGCAGATCCGGCAGCGCTTGCTGACAGTTTGCACCCACAAACAAGATCATCACGAAGACGACAAACACTTCCGGGAAAAAAACACGATTTCGCAAGTTTGCGCATGTCATTCAGGCTAAGCAAGCTGCCGGTGGCTTCACACTTGGCGGTGGGCAGGTCTCACTAGGGCATCATAGGCCATATGTTAAACAAGTTGCTTGGCAAGTTTACGCACGTGGGCCAGGTAGGAATTGCTTGCGACTGCTTCTGGATTTGTACCACTGATTTTCTTGAGTTTGATGTCATCCGGCTGAGTTTGCATTGAAAGCTCAGCGCCACAGGTTCGAGTGCACGTTTTACATCGTTTTACTGTAAATTTTAGCCATGGCATTGGCTCCAGGTGCTCAGAATGTGCTTTGAAATGGCTGAATCCAGGGAAAGGACAGCAGTATACAGCAGTAGAGCACGGGTTTGAAGAAACAAAGCGAACGCTTGCCACTGAAACAGCCACAGTTGAAAACATAGCCAAAAAAAACACGTTCCGGTTCCTGAGCCTACAGCGCCACACAAAGCACAAGAGCCCTCGCGGAACTGATGAGGGAGGAAGTGGCAATCTGGCTGAAAGAGGTTCAACTTGAGCAACTGAGTCAGGTCCTTGATGGTTTGGGCGTGGACTGCTTGGAGGACCGGGAGTGATCGGGAGTGGTTGCAATGGTTGGTACTTTGATGCGTTTGCGCACTGGAGCACGCCAGATAACAGCTCTAAAACACAGAAGTGCTAGATGAAGTTGTTCAAAAACCACACGCAAGGTCTTCTTGTTATGATTTGTCATGTACCTTTTTCGGTCGATACCAGGACCTGAAAGAGGTCAAAGAGGAAGACTTGCGTGAGGAGAATGTCAAGAAGATCCCTCTGCGAAGGTTCCTGGAGAAACAGAGGTCGTTGATGGCTCCGTTTCAGCCTGCCAGTGAACCGAGCGAATCTGTGGATGAAAGGATCTTTGCCACCTCTCCAATCTCTCGGGTGTCAGTGGAGCATGCTCAAGGCCTCTCCTTTGATTGGAGCATGGTGGGAGAAGAAAAGGACAGGCTGAACGCCGAGACCAACCCGTTGGATTCTTGGGAGTTTTTTGAGACATCTTTGCCGGACGCCAATTTGCAGCTGACAGCAAAGAAAGCCGTGACGATTGAAGTCCTGCACTTCACCTTTGATGGGGACAGGCCTAAACTGGAAGGGCAACAGAAGATGTCTGCGCGTCCGATGTTGTGGAAGCTAAGGCCAGAGGAAGGCTGGGTATTTCTCACAATGCAATTTCCAGGAGACAAGGATCGCTTGAAAAAGCTGGTCGAGACATACAGGCCAGGATTTCCTCATCAGGGACGGACATACTACTATGTTTCCTCAAGCAGCCTGGCTCAGTAGAAATCCACCAGCTGCATGCGTACTGTCGTCACACCGCATTTTGCTGAGCCTCAATTGCGTAGTGGGTTGTTTCAGGAAACTGTAGCCATGTGTAGCCGTGTCATTTGCTCCTGCTGTAACAATTGTTGGTCTTGATTTTGAGATTTGTGAGCTCTTTGGAAAGCTTCGAATATCTCACTGTTTTGTCCCCATACCGCCCATACCTTCTTTGCGTGTACCTGAGGTAAAGCCACTTTCCCCCAAGGACCTACAGCATGGTTGGCCAGTCCTCCTGTTGGTGGCCCTGAGCAAATTGATGAAAGGCTTGGCTTCAAGACATCTTTGGTGCTGGCGGAGCCAACCACGGAGATTCCATTCCCAGTGTTTCGCTTGCGAGCCCGTGTCAAGCAGCTGTTTTCATCAGTGATTGCTTCCATTGATACTGACTCGATTCAGATCACTACAAAAAATGACTTCAGATCAGGCGAGCCGGCTGTGATTCGTGATGATGGGGCAGGGGAGGCGGATCCCGACATTTTGACTGCTTTGGCAATTGCTTCAAATGCTCCAAAGGAAGATGTTGGTCTTTGCCGTTCAGTCACCCAATCAGCACAAATCCGCTGCGCGGGTTTGAAAGGCATGTTGCTAGGCTCACCGCGCCTCCAGGGAACGCGTAGGGTTGAAGTGCCGGAAAACATGCTGAAGTTTGGGGCATGGCCTTTTGAAGGAGAACATCTTCATGTGCTGAACTTCAGCAGGATCCGCCCCACAACCCTTGGTCGCGACATAGTCTTGCGATTGGAAGCCTGTGGTTGTGATGTCAGTGTTTTCGTAGACGAGCAGCAGCGATACCTCAAGAAAATCGGAAACTGCAAGATGTCTATGGAAGATGCTGTTGACTGCTTGCGCTTTGCGCAACAAGCAGCTGATGAGAATGATCATTCTTCCACACAGACAGGTGGCATGCGGTTCATAGGGACCTTCCTGAGGATGTTGCAATCAGGTTTCAGCCCACAGCAGCATCCCCTTCTCGAGGTCATCCTGCGTCAGAAAGAGAAGGCTTTAGAAAGAGCGAAAGCACAAGTCCACGTGCGCGGCTGCTGGTCTGCTCGTGGTCATCCGGAGCCTCACGGAGAAGATGCTTCCCTGGAACTGAAGGGCAACGAAGTTTTCCTCATGGTCCCATCTGATGGAGAGGAGATTCAACCATGGAAACCATGCAGTCACTTTTGTACCCCATCCTTTGTTCCTTTCCATTGTAGAGAGACAGCAATAATTACACAAAAAATGCACACATATTCAACAATCTTTTGGCGCGCATTTCAGGCTCACCAAGCATGAAACGCATAATCGTTCAAACCAATGCATAATGACAGTTGGACAAGTGGCAATAAGTAGGCAGATGGCCAAATGGCGACAAAAGAGTTGGCATTGCAAAGTTTGGGGTTTCTTGATCTGTGAAATCAGCACTATGCAAGTACAACTTGAGCCTAAGATGCGTCATTTCGTGGCTGAGAGGAGAATTTTAAATGTGCATTTTTAATCAATCTGAATCAGGATGAATCAGTCATGTGCACAGCATATATTGTTGCAGTGTATGTGACATGAATTCGGAGGTTCATGTACTAAGGTAGCCCATTTGTGCAGGAGAGTGGGTGGAAAGCCGTGACAGGGAAGGTCATTGTCAACTACCTGTCCGACAGGGATCCATTTGCTTTGAGGCTTGCCATTGCCAAGGATTCTCCAGCTTTGCGGGCAAAGTGTGCTCCGGGCGTGCTCTACTTCTCAATGGTTGGGGAGCCTTTGCAAACCAATCTGTCTTGGGATTTCGATGGGGATTACTTTCAAATCGTCACACACGAAAAGCTGGTGGATTCCTTCAAAGGTGATACTTCGCCCCTGCCATTGCCTGATTTTGAGACTGCAGTTCAACCAGCAGTCCAGATCAACACCTTGGTTGATGTTCACGCCCACTTCTTGTCGGAATACCAGGAGAAGGACCAGATTGGGCTTTTCCACTGGAAATGGCAGAAGCTTGCTGGCGCGGGTCCAACTGCCGCATCTTCTACTATTGCCCGGAAGGCAGCAGCTGTATACTGCAAGTCCTTGGATGTGGAAAAGGGAAAGCCATGCCCCAAACGCTCAGAATGGGATGGTTCACAGACGTGGGACTTCATGAATCGAGGAGACGCAAAAACCTGCTCCCCAACAGCTACTGGGCAGTGCTTTCGCCAAGCTGCAGCAGCTCACAAGGAGTTTGTGGCCGCTGCAAAGCCGGCAAGCAGAGGTCTAGATGCTGATCTCGAGAAAGCCTGGGCGGAGTTGTCAGAGAAATTTGGATCGGACAAGTGTGGAGAGCTAACAGAAATAGCTTCAGATGCTAGAGGAAAACTTATTGCATGCATCAAGGAACAGTGCCAAAAAGCAGAGGGCCGCGCTCGCTCCAAGAATCCCTTTGCAACTTCCAACGATGACATTGTGGCAGAACAATGGCTCACGGATTTGCGTGCAGCCACACTACAAAGAGCCACAGAGAAAGGTGTGTCGTTGCATGAGGTTGCCTTGGCAGGATGGCACCTCAAATACGTGAGTCAAGAAGTTCACCTACGAGAGAAGGACCCAGACCCAAGCTTCCCGTGGACCTTGTTTGGACGTGAATTGTTGGAACACAAGGAGCAGCAGCAACCATGCTTATCCAGAGAGCTCCGTGGATCTCACCGCCTCTTGAGAAAGCTCCAGAGAAGTGCAGTGCAGGCAGCAGAGGATGCAACTAAGGAGGGCAAGTTGCAGGAAGATCAGGAAGCGATCGCAGCTATGAAATGCAGAATGAAATGCCCCCACTGCTCGAATGCACTGGAGAAGCTTTTGGCCAAGTTGCACCTTGATGGCATGCCCCCTGACATCGTTGAAGCTACCAGGGCCATCTCCGGAGCAGGAGGGAAAGAACAAGTTGATTGCCAAAAACTTCGTTTCGCAAAGGGATGCATCCCTGATCTGATCGAAAATGGCCCGCAGTCTGGCACAAAGTTGACAGACTTGGTCGAGAGACTTGTCAAGGGCGAGGAGCTGGTAGAAAACCTGGTGCTCACAGCTGTGCGATTCCATGGGCAGCTCTATGTTGTGGAAGGGAATCGCCGATTGTGGTGCCTTCAGGAAGCACAACGACGGCTTCAAAAGACGATCACGGTTTCTGTGACTGTGCCAGACCTGTACCTGGGTTTCATCCGTCGCCAAGACCATAGGGAGCCTGCTTTGTCATACTTCCTGGAGAGATTTGATTCGAGTTGCGAAGGCCAGAATGTGAAGGTCGTTCCCGCGGAGTTTCCGAAGGCAAGGCCCACAAGCGACCCTGCGAGCACCAGCCAATGCGCACCAGCAGACCCACTCTCCATGACCACACCTAGATGCCCAAAGTGCAGTGGAGACATGGTGAAAAGAATCAATCGCCAGAACCAGTCAGAGTTTTGGGGTTGTGCCAATTTCAAGGCTGGATGTCGAGGAGCCATAAATATTCCAAGCTCAATCTCAGCTCAAGATCAGCCATTGTTCCCTGCCGCAGTTGTGACACGCCCTGCTCCAACTGTGTGCGAGGAGCAACAGGTGGGCACAGAGCCACCCACATGCCCAAGGCTACATTGTGGCCAGCGCATGGTGTGCAGAACCAACAGCACCAGCGGACAACCCTTCTGGGGCTGCAGCAGGTATCCAACTTGCAAAGGCACGAAGAACATCGGTGCCTAGATCCAAGGTGTTGTACTGGATGGTTTGCATTGGAGAATTTGTCATGGCTTTACAAACAGCGTCTTCTGAGCCGTGCTTTGTGAGAGCTGATCATGTTCCCTGCCTTGGCTTTTGAACGCTTATTGCTTATGATTCATGATTGATTTATTTCAGAGAGCCACCCAGGCCTCACTCTGGTAGGTCAATGTGCCGAAGGTTGACACTTGTGTCGCTTACAGCCTTCAATGATTTCTCTAATGTTCCCGACTCGCGCTAGATCGAGCCTGGCACGTGGCGAAAAAGGATGCCGATTGCTGGAAGACTTGCTTGAGATCATGCGAGTTATTTGCTCACAACCTGCCTTGTTCATGAGATTCTTGAAGCTGAGAGAACTGGAGTCTTGTTCTGAGGTTCGCTGGCGATATCACTGCGGATGTGTAAAGATGACAGGGTGCGCGAGCCAACGTGTTCAAAAAGACTTAATTATAACTGTTGGAGGCCGGGCTTGCAAGACACTGCAAGGCACTCAAGTGAAAACTTCTTGCTAAGAGATGATAAAGGTTCTTTTTCTCATTTGTGCACGGGAAAGGACATGCACAATTGGAAAATCCAAGAGTTGTTATAATTTATAGCTGTTCACCGCGATTTTGCTCCCACTGACTGAATCCTTGGATCTTGCCAAGATGCATTTTGCTGCATGCACGTTTCCACAGGCAAAAGCAAGAGGATGGAAAGGATTGTCCAAGCAAGGGCGAGAAAGGGCGAAGCAATGGCACTCCGTCTTGGCACCATGTGGGTCAACCCATCAAGTGCATGGTGTCCACCCACATGAAACTAATTATATGTTGCATTCCGCGCTGTGTCAGGCCATGTCATAGTTGTTCAAGTTATGAAAGGTGGTTTGTTGCTGTTTGTTGCGTCATGCGGCACACATCGATTGCCTCAATTGGGCTAATGATTTAAGACAGTGCCACCATAGCACTAGCTCAATTTGAGCCGGCACTGGCTGTGTCGGCTCTGTTTTTTCCAAGGTTACTAAAGATGGTTCTGAGAACCATCGTGACACTGATGGAAGTAGCAAAGGCCTTGCTCATTTCAAGCGTAGACTTCACGATTTTCATTCAAACTTTCGGAGAAAAACGAGCAACGACTGCCGGTGGGATGCAGGGTGGCCCCAGGGCTAGCCAGACTTTGAAGCGCTTTGTAGCAGTTCAGTTTGTTGTTCCCTCTCCATCCTGCTGTTCACCAGAAGGTTGCTTCAGTCACGTGCCCCTCTTCAAAACCCTGGCGCCCCCAACTTCACGGTGCAAAGGCGTTTTGGACATGCCAAGGATGCCGTTTCCCCGTGATTTCTTGCCTTGTCATCGTGGCAACAACCAGCATCAAAGGCCCGTGGGTGAAATGCCTTTCTCTGCGCGCTTTGGCGTCACCACAAGCTGCCTGATAATGGGACTGGTCAGGCACTGAGCCTTCGGGTTTTGCAGGGCATGCTGTGGCGACACATTAGCGGCAAACTGTTATTGGTGTGGATATGTGTGGATGATGTTTTTGCGTGCACGTATGCTTTTCACCGATTCGTTTTTCCCTGGCTTCCAGCCATTTAAAATTTCCCTCTAGCCTCAACAAGTGTTTGCCAAGGTCATGATTTTCATTTCACCCTTTGATGAGTTGCCAGTGATCCGCGGGGACCCCAAACTATGCTGACCAGGGTTTCAGTGTGCGTCCTGTGAGAGTCTCCTGAGTCTCCTGCCACAACGTGTCCTGGGGTGAAACAATGGAGCAACGTTTGCCGCGCTGTGCAGGCAAACCTTGCGCCTCGATTTTCACCAAGGGTTTGCTGCTACCTGTCTTTGGTGCGGATCTTAGAGATAGAGTTGCTGGGTGGCTGGGTGATCAAACGATATTCAAAGGGTCACGGTCACAGATCTTAAACCAACCAGTGCGCACCAAGGCCTGCACATTGTGGGTCTGTGCAATGAGGCATGACACCAGTTTCGCGATGTGGCTGATCAGATGTTTGTCCTTCTCATTCGGCCTATGCTTGGATTCAAGTGGCTTGCAGCCTCTTGGAATCCTCAGGCTGATCCTTTGGCAAGACTGGCTGCACGGCCAGTGGTGAGCTGGGCTGGAAACTCAAACCTCTCTGGCTGTTGCTGTTGCTCATGAGGTCAGCTGGGAATGTCCAAGCCATACTGAGGCTGGAAAGCTGTCGCTCTCGATGTTTCTGCTGGCTTTGCAAAGGCCTCAGCACATGAGCAGATTCGGAGAATGTCGGTACAGCCTCCGCTCTCGAAGGCACATGTGTAATCTGAAGATTCGAAAAACAAAATAGCATGATCATTTACTATAGCATGAGTTTATCAGATAGTATTTTGATTGTGGTTCCAGGCGGACACAAACGTCTAAAGCAACTTGCACTTTTGCAGATTGATCGTCGAGGCCAACGCATGTGGCGGTCCGGGAGACGCACCAACCTGAGTGCAAGCGAGTGTGAACTCCGGATTTCAGGAAAAAGACATGCAGCAGATGGTATCAATGTAACCACAAACCAGCAACAGAGCATCTCACCATATCCCACCCTCGTTTTCACATGCTTCAAAGTGATGCGGAATTACATGGGATTTTCCTGTGGCACATAGATGCACATGGCTAAGCTATGTATGCTTGAGGCTGGGGTTTGATGGATTCACATGGACCTTCCTGGCTTCATTGCTAGCTCTGCAGGGGGCTTGGAAGGACTCAGGAGATGCTGTAGTGTTTAAAACATGCCGAAATCATCCGAAACCACTGAAGGCAGAAGAGCGGAGGTTCAATGGTAGTGAGTTTTGTGCGGGTTTTCTATGCTACTGATCTCCTTGTGTACTTGTTGTGTATGTCACTCCTTGTTCAGCCGCTCAACCAATATTTGCAACCTCTCAAATCTCAAGGCTGATCAGTCAAACTGATGTATATTATATTATATATTGTTATATATATATATTTATTTATTTATTTATTTATATTATGCATATATATATAATGTATATATATATATTTATACATTATGTATATATATATATATCATGTATATATATAAGTATATAAATATATGTATGTATGCCAAACTATCTACAGAAGGAACATGTTGCAAGTTCAAGCCAAGGTCCGCCGCAGGCTACTTCCTGATAGAAGTGCCATCGACGCCCGGCTGCACTTAGCTGGTGAACAGAAAGGTCCTGGGTCCTCCTGCCAACATGCCATAGTAAAGGGAACACGCACGGAAAGGTATACAGGGGCCGTGCCGACATGAACAGATGCATCATAGTCCAGGCGAAGATTTGCCCACTTCTTGGCGGTCTTTATGAACCAAAAGGCTTGCTCTTCCAAATGGCACATACCAGCGAGAATGCTGGTCACTCTGGTATTTCACTTGAGGTTACTTGAGGGTTGCTTTGCTCACATGCACACACACAGAGATACTTGAGATACTTCGCCGTGTTCCACACTTTGGTGGACTGTTCACTGTGCCAAGAGCGTCAGGCACAGAAATGAGCTGCCAACGCGTTTCCAGAAGGAACAAGGTGTTGGTTGGAAAAAAAGATGAAGCACGTGAAGTGTCGAAGTGTCCCACTGATTGGTCATGGGGTTCTTTCGGCATGTCAAGACGGAAGACATTGGAAGACCAGTCCTCGAACTATCCTATATTATCAGCACAGCATGGTTCAGTCAAGCACCAACTTAGTCGCTAGTTTGACACCGACCAGATCCCACAAGTCAACGTAGGCCAGTATTGCAGAATCTGTCGTTTTTAAAATCATGTTTGCTTAGAGTTCACAATGCATGCTCGCCTGTGGCTCGAGTACGGGCGGGTTACCATTGGGCCGGAGGAGTTGGCCATTTGCGGGAGGTGCTTAGCCGCCCCAACTGGAACAACGGTGGACACGCGGTAGATTTGGTCAAGGAACATGGATGGATCGTGATGGATCAAAATAGATCAAGTTTCTCCTGTTGTGCATGCGTGAAGGAAAATGCATTGAAAATGCGTATTTAGGATGGTAGAAGGGAGAAATTGGGAGGACATGGGAGGACACAAAAAAATAAAACTATCGATCCATATCGATCCGGAGCCATTGTTTTGGAAACATTTTGCAGAGAATTTTCCCCAATTTCCAGACCCGGTGACTCCGCTGACTGGCCCCACTGGCTGCTTTTGCTCAAGGTTGTTTTTCATGTTTTTCTGCGTGTGTAGCAACATGACTTGCAGGAGTGATGAAACTGGAATGGAGGTGAGAAGTTCTAGGGATTCTAGGGACCATGGTTTTCAAGAAGGAAAAGCAGAGAAAAGCAAAAGTAGGAAGGCACCCAAAGCAGGCCCAAAGCAGGCCCAAAGCAGGCCCAAAGCAGGCCCAAAGCACTTCAAGTGTTTGGAATTTGTCTGGACGTCCGCCTCGCTGAGTGATGTCGGGCAGACAGCCGAGCCTTTGACAGTGGAACAGGACAGCGCGCATGTACCACCATGTACCACCTAAACGCGTGGCAGCATGGTCCCAGCCTTTATTCGCGGAAACCCCGGAAAGCTGCTCACGAAGTGGATTCAAGTTCGTTGATTTCCAAACAAATATATAGTTTACATTTACATTGCCATACAGAAACACATCTTCCAAGCCTGAAGGCAGGGACAAAGGATCCTAGACAACAGGTCAGGTGCTCAAGTAGCAGATAGTAGCAGTACAGGTTCAAGTTCCCATCATGCATGTAGCAGGCATATTATGCATTGTTTTGCCTTGTTTTGTGCACGGCTTAGAGAGGAACCAGCAGCTGGAAGCATGGATGCTTCAAATGCCCAGAAGGCTTGGCTTGTGAATAGAACTGCAGCTGTCATAGTCATAGTCATAGTCAATCACATTCTTCACCCTCATGCAAACCTACCTTGTTTGTTGATTGCAGTTGTGAAGGATGTATCAGGGGCAAGTGAGTTTTTGTGAGTGTGCGCAAGCCGTGTCAATTCGAACGGCTGCAGGTTTTGCAGGAGTTCTTGACCAAGCAAGAAGGCCGCAAGGGGCAGGACTGGGCAGGATGTACACAGGAACTGAAACATCAACCGTCCCAAAAGGTGCCTGATCGAGTGGAAAGGTGTCATCCGCAAGCTCCTGTATGTTTCACGGATTTTCACGGTATGCCGTGTGCTTTTGCTTAGGGCTAGCGGCTAGCGTCACATGTGGGCGGGGTGGCCCTCATTTGGTCCTCCATTGGCTTTGGCTTCTTTACCTTGCCTGTTCGGTATTCCTCTCTTTCGGCGGGAGTGTTTTGCTTAGCCTTTTTTTCTCCTTACAGTACCATTTTTTGAACCGGTCACAAGCAACTCATGGCCGCTTTCCCACAACAGTAGCAAAAGAGAGTTAACCGGCAAAGAAATGCAACAAACTGTATTAATTATATTTAATTATCTCGGGTCAGAGCAGGAAGCCAATCAGTTCATGATACCAGGCACCAATTGGGACCTGAAAAGTAAAGCACCGACAGTCAGCAGCAGCAAAGAAAACGAGAAGACTGTTGTGCAGGACTCAAAGGAAAAAGACGAATTCACATAAATTCAAGAATTGGGGCCAGGCAATATCCCAGGGCAAATAAAAATACAGGAGCGCTATTCTAAACGTGCAACATTTGCAACTTCAAGTTGGCTTTGATCAGTGAAGAACTCTTGAAATCCAATATTCATCATTAAAATTATATTTGAGGATATGCATCATTTTCAGACAAAGCCACATGTGAATCTGATTGCTGACTCGCCAGGTTCAAGCCTCAGAGCATGGATTCATAAACTGGATCCAGATCATGAACACAGGATCACCGAGATGTTTTTCTTGAGACTCTTGGCATCTCTTGGCCATTCGCCAACTTTAGTTTGCAAGGCGATGGAGGGAGGGAAGAAAGGAAGAGAGAGAGAGAGAGAGAGACCAATCTTGCCTTGCACAAACGAGGATAAAGCTTAGGTTTCATGCATCTTGGTCAAATGGTTTTGAGTCCGGAGCCTGACATGTTGCGCACGGATGCAGAATCAACCTTCATGAAATCCCAAAGAAACCAAACTCTGTGCAAACTGGGCAAGAAACTTGCAATGTGTTTTCTTTCTATGTTGTTCCATGTTTGTTCTATCTCTTGCCAAGGATACTTGCGGGAAAACATGCTCCTCGAATGATGCAGGGGTGAGGGTCTTGCAGAACTAGCAAGGAGAGTTGGTCCTTACTAGCAGGATGTTTCAAGCAAGGCATCAAATCATTGGAGAAGGGAATCGCCCAATGATGTTCGCTAGTGAACAGAGTCACTCGCAAAGCACCTGAAAATCCTGTGCCAATGTGTTTTGCTGCCTTCTTCAGGACAAGTTTCTCGCAGTAGAATGCCTGTTGGCGCCTTTTGAAGTGACCCCTGATTCTCAGATACTTAGGTTCCCGCACGATGCCAACCAGCTCTACCACATTTTAGATGCTGATGGTGGAGGGGAAGTCACCTTCGAGGAGATCGACCCAGCAGCTGATGAGCTTTGGGACACATGGCCGCATTTTGGGCAGCCATTTTGGGCAGCCATTTTGGGCAGCCGCAGTTGGACAAAGCTGTGGGGCTTCGGCATCAAACCCATTGTTCAAGATTCGGCACCAAACCCATTGTTCAAGATTTTTCAAGAACAGAGACGCATAGTTACTTATTAATGCACACACGCACACAATAATAGCGCACAGACGCCACGTCACCAGACTCAAAGCAGCCTGGCCTACTGCGCAAAGCACAAGAACAGAGCTGAAGCACGAAATGTGACCGGAGAGCACAAGAACAGAGCTGAAACACGAAATATGACCGAAGAGCGATACCAATCGCGGTGCTTCAAGGAATTTTTCAACAAAGGCAAGAAGGAACAAAGGAAGGACATCAGAATCTGATAGTGCTCCATAGTTCTCCCATGTTTTTCCATTTTTTTGGTCTATGATTTCCTTGCCAATACCACCAATACCTATCGCCTTCATCGCCCAGGACAACTTCCGCAGCTGGGCATGTGAGACATACCCGCAGGGTGCAGAAGACTGCATCCAGCGGATGTCACGGCGACCAGCTTTTCATAGTAAGGTTTTGGCTCATTTCCTCCCTTGTTCTATCATGGTTTTTATCCAGTTACAGATGTATGGATGTTATGTGGTGGCGTTGTAAAATTTGAATCACGTTAACATGGGATGTCTAACATGCTGTGCTTCTTCACATATCGAGGCAAACCGAGCTGAAGGTGGAGGACTCTTGGATGCAATTTCTTATGCCCAATCTGAGTGTAGCATGGGAGGACTAAGTAAATTTGCTTGTAATTGGGCGCCTATGTGCTTTTTTGGGGGCATTGCTGCCAAACAAACACGTTGCAATATTTGCCCTACACTTTACAGTTGATTCTGCCGTATTTATATTTGAAGCGAACATCTCACCTTTCGATGGTTTTCAGATGGGTAGAGGTGTGCGTGTCCAGGTTCACCCTGCTCTCAGGCCATCAAGATAGACTTATTTCATTTCGAAGCAGACTTGGCTTCTCGGCGGGTCATGTCAAGCCCACAAGGTTTGCCACCCCTTTGTCAAGCTCGATTCATAGGCCCGGTCCCAGGGAAGAGACCACATAGAGACCACATGGTTGCAAAGTTTATAGATGTTTATAGCGTTTCAGAGGGACCACGGTATCGACCCGGCTATCTGAGTTCTGGGAGAAAAATCCAACCTGTCAGACTGTCAGACTGCCTCCCAGGTAGAGAAGCACTGGACATATGGGCAAGAGGAGCAGCTGTTCCAAGCCCTTTGCAGCTTGGCATGGGAGTGTGGATGCAGAAATGTAGAAACGTGACTCTCACCAGATCACTGTGCGTGCTCAATCTGATGTTGTTTGTGCTTGATGATGCCTTTGCGTGGCTTGGCACATTCTTTTGCAGATCCTAACCAGGTGCAAACCAGGGACATCTTGTAATCGGCGACATGCGCTGGCATTTTGGCATCAATCAGGAGAGCTGCTGATTTTGAGAATGAGATGAGATGTGTTCGAGGCCATAAGGTCTTCTGGTCGACACCAAGGAGATCCAACAAAGATATTGGAGCATAGGCATAGACGCTAGCATGCTTGGAGCAGGAACAAAGCAGGCTCTTGTACTGGCTTTGGCCATGTCAACAAAAGGTATACAAAAGGTATCGAATGGCCAACAAGCAAGACTTGCACAGGCACAAAGCCGTTGCTACCAAATGATGTGCTTGATTTTGACTTGTTAGTCTGGCACCATTAGATATACTTTGATAGGTCCAGGTCCAGGTCCGCTTTCCTTCTATTTATATAATTCATCTGAGGTTGAACTTGGAATTGCGTCGCTTGAAGAAAAAGCTGAAAGCAAGGGAGCAGGCGCACATGGAAACCAGAGCATTGGCCAAGAAGCAATCCAAGGACAGACGCATCGTGGCCCATCGTGCCAAAGGGATCCATAGGATGAGATTCAGTGCATTGCGGTATCCATTTCCACAACGGAAAAAACACATTGCCAGTGCAGGATCCGCGAGAAAATCTTGTGCCTTGGCCCGGCACGCCGCAGAAGATGTTCCCGATTGATTGTTTATTGTGGTACCGGACCGACTTGCAACTGAGTACAAAAGATATCAAGCGATACAAGAGTTCCAACGTCACAAATCGACTCCGACGTGTTTTTTCTTGCTGCCGGCGGACCCCCCTCCACACCAAATCAATTGCTGGCTGTGTTCCGAGGCAGATTTCAAGCGCTTTTTGCGCCAGAAGCATGGGGGTAACCTGATCCGAGCCTGGCGACAAGCTTTGACCGAAGGCGCCGATTTGCCTTGCAATATCTGGTGGTTTCCCTTCGTGTACATTTGGAGAAATTTTGGAAGCGTGTTTCCAACTCGCAGGAGAGATTCTCTTTCCAGGTCAGGTCCCATCATCTTTCTCTGACATTCTCTATTGACACCATGAAAGAAGATGATGATGATGATGATGATGATGATGAATGTCTTGACACCATGAATCTTCAGGTGACGCAATGCTGCTGCACAAGGGTGCTTTCTTCAAGGCAAGGCAGATGCCTGAGTTGATGCACCCTTCCTTTATTCAAGGAAAAGGTTTCAGGGCCCACTATGAGTATGTAGAGGATTGTAGAGGTGTATGGGGGCATACAGGCAGATGTTGAAGGCGATACCGGTGGTATAAAATAGAGCTGTTCCCTTGCAGAAAACATTCAGGTGAAGGCGGTACCTTTAGCGTTTAGTATGCGTTTCACAGACATTGGATTAAACATGCAAGACCTTGGATCATCTACAACGCTAGCTTTAAGTCGTATCAGCTCGCAAAAGTCGTATCGGGAGGCCGTGCGCCTGGAAAAAGTTCAAGTTGGCATCACCACAACTTTTAGTAATTGAACGATTTCACTGTTTGGGCAGGTCCGAGGTCCGAAGCATCAGTAAAAGCCAGCGTTCCATGGGAACGGTGAATCATCAACCAAATATGTTTAGTAGTTTGGGTACCGGCGTTCCATTGGAAAGAGGCTTCTGGAAATGAGTGTTTTCACGTCTACAAACCGTAAGCGTTAAAGCGTTTCCATTGGGTTTCATAGTCCAGGTCCTGCCTTTTCTGACTTAGCCGTGACCACGGCGTTCCATGCAGGAACACATATTCTAGCACCACCAGTCCTGCCTTCAACGTTCACCTGTATCGGGGCGTATGTATGAAAAAGGTCTATTGACACATAGAAGAAGAACTAAAATGCATGCGACGCGTTTTCATGTTTTGAACATTGTCATATGTGTTAAGACATGTTAAGACATATGTCACATGAGTCATATGTGATTTGTTTGACGGAGCCTGCCTAGCTACAAACCCAATGGGAGGCATGTGTCAACCTGAAATGGCGAACAGCTCCTTGTCAGCTTGGCATCAGATCTGTTTGAGGCCAACTAACACAATTTTGTGCGCAGAATGGCAATTTGGGATAGTTCAATACATTGACATTGATACTGCAACTTGATGCAAATTGGCTACTTATGGTGCTTACCATTTACTGAATTTACTCCCAATATATCCCGTTATCTTTCAATTCAATCAGGTCTCTTTGTTTGCTTCACTTCTCGTTGGATCCTGTTTGGGTTGGATCGCTTGCAGTGGCATTCTTGGCTCAGCTAAGGATGTCAAGGGACTCTGGGAGGAGTTAGATAGGGATGGCAGCGGCACCATAGGCATTGAGGACAGCTTGCCGGCAAACGTCCTGAGCCAACTGAATTCGATGAGCTACTCCGTAAATTGCCTGTCCGGGAATGTGACAGAACGTGCTTTTAGGATCTTTTGGCTTTTGCCAGCTGAGATTCTGCGCAGGAACTGGACTTCCGTGCAGCAGAGGAGCTGGCGCTCTTCCGTGGCATGGACAAAGGGAGGAAGAACGGCTATCATACAACAGCCAAAGGACAGACGCAACAGCGGAATCTCAAACGATGTGTAGGGGTTGGCTGTTCCAAAACTACAGACAACTGATAAAGTCGTGCCTCGTTTTTGGGAATCACCAGAATTAGCTTGGGAAACGGTTAACGTAAAAGTCGTGCCTCGACCCTAAAACGCAAGCGAACTCTGACTTCAAAATAAGTTGTATTTTTGATCACCAACTTCCGATGACTGGATAGTACCATGGTGTTTGGTGGGACCCTTGAGAATCTTGAGATTTCGCTGAAGCGTGGCTGACTCAGGTCAGTTCGTTATCAACAAGTTCCAAAATGCAACCCGAACGTTTGCAGCCTCTTGGCTTTAGGGAGCATAGTTGAGTCATGTTGAGTAGTAGAGTCACACGGATCCTTTGAGCTGGAGCAGCTCAGTTTGTCATAAGTGTAGATCATGTCCGAGGCTTTGGACCTGGATGGCAACAAGAGCCTTGGATGAATTTGGAGACTTCAAGCCTTGGCATTGGAAACTGCTGGGGAAACTCATGCCATTGGTGTTTTGCTCTTGGGGAGCCGGCAGACGTTGGAGAGATGACATTACACGTATTTCATGGCGGCTTGCGAGTATAAAACCTTGGACGTTTGATTGTTGTTTGATTCTGCGCTTAATCTTGATTTCAGTCTCACTGAAATCTTGATGCCTTGAAGTCTTGAAGGGTTACTTTCATGTTGGTTGTGGAGGTTTGTTTCCATGCCAGTATGCCTTTGAACTCTCGACGATGTAAGGAATGTCAGCGAATCTGAATTTATGCAAGCTCTGAAGGAGTTTGGTTATGAGAGCCGAGACAGGCTCATTTTCCAAGCGTCACATGGACGCACCAGCCACCAGCTATCACCAGCGGTTTTTGCATCTCTAATTCAGGAATTACTGTGTCACGCCCAGCAGCTGCTTGGCTAGTTCACTGCCCAGGCTCGACAGGAACGGAAAGAAAAAGATCAACCTTGAGGCACGATACGTCCAATGGTCCATATATGTCCATATGGTATCTATGGTGCACCATCTTTCATAGCATCGATGCTGTGGCAGCGACACAGGCATGGTCATAGGTGGAAATTCTTTGCCAACGTCGGTGGAGTTTTGGCAGGACATCCTCTTCCTAGATCAGTGGAAGCCTATGGAGTTCTTATTGGCTCGTGCTAATCACGAGGCTGCAGAATCCTTTAAGAAAAAGAAACTTGGCATGAAGCTGGGGTGAGAAGTGACGCGTTAGATAATGCATAAACCTGCATAAACATCCATGCATAAACCTGCATAAACCTTCGCCATGAGAGATTGAACAGGAGGCAGTGACTGCTTCGATCTGTTTCGAACATAGATGGTCTTCTACATGCATTGAGCTGCAGTGGACGCATCTTTCGCTCTAGGAATTTTGGTGGTACTATGTTATGTATGTCGTATTCATTCCGTTAGATTCCTTATCAATTTGGTTCCACTGATGGTATCAGATTTCCACCTTGTTTTTGTGCACATTTGGACACAGATGGCAGCTGGACGCGGTCAGAGGAGTTTTTCCGACCAAGGTTGCACGATCGGTTTGGCAGCTATCTCCGTGGCTGGAAGATGGTGCTGGACTGTGATGGCAGCAACACTTGCACCTGGGATCACCTGGGCTTATTGTAATCACCAATACTAACCATCACTAACCTCACTGAGAGGTTGGTGATTCACTGCCAATGCTGTGCAGTGTTGTTTTTCACTATTTCCATATATATATATATATACTCTATATATTTCTGATTGACCAGTCAAGCATACTCTGTCACGAGTCTGTTTGCTCCAGCATTCCCATCGCAGCCAGTTTGCAAGGCAACTGGGAGGAGTTCCGGCAAGCTTGCAAGAGATTGGGTCACTATTTGGCAAAGAGTCAGCATCTTCCAGCCTTTCTCAGCATGGAAAGAGGAAGAAATCCATGGTGGGGGCACACTACATTCATACACAGACACGTGCACACACACACAATCGCATACATGCATGCTCACATGTAACACGTAAGCCTGGACAAATTCACATGCACCGGGTATCCTCGTACCCGTGCCTTGCATGTGCATGTGCCCAGCCGCGGCAATATGATACTTCCTGCGGATAATGTCTCTTTTCATTTTCTTTTCGCAGTTTGCAGAGTGGTCTCAACCAAGAGCTTTAAAGTCCTCGATTGTGCAGACCCCTAGCGCACCTGCGCTCTCCCCGGACATTCCTCCCAGTTTTCTTGATGAGGTTTCAAGCACGATGTAGCCGGTGCCTGGCGCGCATTGGACTCGACCATGTCAGGCATTGGACTGGGGCAAGGAGTTGTGGAAAGAACGGCATTTCTAGCAGCACCATGCAACACCCCTCTTTCGATGACTTCAAGGATCTTCAAGGCTTGGTAGATCGTGACATTGAAGCAAAGGCCCAGACTGGTTCGACCTCTCACCAGCTTTTTTTGAAGCAATTAAGTCAAGCCACCCAGGGACAATATCGTTGTCGAGCGTCGACCCTGCTTCAAGTACCGTGCTACTGGCACCTGGGATGCACCCTGAGCATTCAGTTGTGCGACTCTGGTAAGTAGGCAACTTTGATTGGAGGGGCATTTTTTTTGGCATTTTTGTTTTTTGGCTTCTGGCTTCTGGCTTTTGGCTTCTGGCTCCTTCGGTTTCTGGCGTCTGGCTTGTATTTGCTGCATTTTAGAGCCAAAATCTCTGATTTGCGTGCTATTTGCTGCAGTTTGGAGCCAATTTGCATGCCCATTTGGCTTTTGGCTTCTGGCTCCTTCGGTTTCTGGCCTCTGGCTTGTATTTGCTGCATTTTAGAGCCAAAATCTCTGATTTGCGTGCTATTTGCTGCAGTTTGGAGCCAATTTGCATGCCCATTTGGCTTTTGGCTTTTGGCTTCTGGCTCCTTCGGTTTCTGGCTTCTGGCTTGTATTTGCTGCATTTTGGAGCCAAAATCTCTGATTTGCGTGCTATTTGCTGCAGTTTGGAGCCAATTTGCATGCCCATTTGGCTTTTGGCTTTTGACTTTGGCTTCACTTGACTCTTGGCTTTTGGTTTTTGGTTTTTGTTGTTTTTTTTGGCTTTGGTTTCACTTGGCTTTTGGCTTTTGGCCGCACTTCTGTTGAATGTATGTGTAGTATTGTAGTTTGCATATAACATTTCATAATTAATTTCATAGAACACACAGCATATAAATGGCATGTAAACTGCACAGACAGAAACTACAGTCGTAATATGAGCTTATATGCATGCTGTTGTGAGAGGAATTGAGACCTGTTTTCAACAAGTGTCCCAACTACTTGCTTTTCCTAAAGTTCTTAAGACCCTATTTCAAGACACTTGTTGAACTGTTGTTCTCCAACTATATTTGCTTGAATTGTGTTTCACAATGGTTGCATGGCAGTCAGAAGTTTCCCTGTTACCTTTGAGTTTATATGCATGCTTATCGGAGAGAAACTGCAACCTTTTCAACATCAAGTGTCCTAACGAGCTCTTTTTTTTATGTCTGAAAAAGTATCTCAGGACACTTGTTGAATCTGGCCTCCTACTATATCTATGTGAGTTGATGCGTGCGAAAACCTGAAGAAACCCTAAATGACAGCCCAAACGAGCCCTAACGAAATTAAAAATGAAACCCTAAAGAAATGCCAAATGACACCCTAAAGAAACCCTAAATGAAAGAGACCCCATTTCAAGACACTTGTTGAACTGTTGTTCTCCAACTATATTTGCTTGAATTGTGTTTCACAATGGTTGCATGGCAGTCAGAAGTTCCCCTGTGTACCTTTGAGTTTATATGCATGCTTATCGGAGAGAAACTGCAACCTTTTTCAACATCAAGTGTCCTAACGAGCTCTTCTTTTATGTCTGAAAAAAGTATCTCAGGACACTTGTTGAATCTGGCCTCCTACTATATCTATGTGAGTTGATGTGTGTGAAACCCTAAAGAGACCCTAAATGACACCCTAAACGAACCCTAAAGAAACTATAAATGAAAACCTAAAGAAACCCTAAATGACACCCTAAAGAAACCCTAAATGAAAGCATCAATGAAACCCTACAGAAACCTTAAATGAAACCCCTAAATGAAACGCCAAAGACATCGTAAAAGAAACCCTAAATGAAACCCTAAAGAAACCCTAAATGAAACATATTTTTTGCATTGTTGCCTTCATTGTTCCATAGGTTTCAGTTTCTTCATTTTTACATGAATTTTCTTCATGCCTTTACCTTCTGGCTTCTGGCTTTTTGCTTCTGCGGCTTCTGGCTTCTGACTATTGCGGCTTCTGGATTCTAGCTTCTTGCTTCTGGCTTTTGGCTGCGGTTGTAGTTTCTGGCTTCGTGTCTGGCTCGTGCTGCTTGGATTTTCTTCTTCATGTTTCCATCATTGATATTTAAACATAGACCCAACCTGGCTCCAATATAGGCCCAACCTAGCCTATAATGGCCCAACATAGGTCCAACATATCCCTGAAATAACCTCCAACAAACGAATTTTCAGTTGGGGTTTTAAATATGGTTCCCATGTTTTGTCAAACGGCGCAGCGTTCTGGGTCAAGACCAGTGAATGGCCGCAGAGCCACGACATTTATCCATCGGATTTGCTGGTGGAGGGCTTTCTTCTTTGCTCCTGCAGTTATTGCGGGATTGGAACAGCCAGGTTCCCTCACCAGTGATTGAGCCTGCTGTGGACCTGCTGTCCAATTGCCAGTGTTCGATTTTTGCAACTTGGGACCTCAGCGAGAGAGAGCTGGGGGTGCTGGTCATTGGCATTCTTTTGGGATTGCTGCTTCTGCCAGTGATTGAATTGTTGTTGGTGGTCCGGCAAGCGTGGAGTGTCTGGCTGCGACAGCGATTGCTGGGAAAACAGTTGTATCGCACCATTTGATGTCCAATCGTGAACTTGAGGCTCGTGTGACTTCTCTGGAACGCGAGCTTGCTGATCTCTACATCACAGTTCGGGCCCTTCAGGTTCGAATCAACACTGCTGAGAGTCAGGATCAAGAGTTTGAATTGATTGCCTCTACGCCCAGCACTCGGTCTGGTCCCATTGCTGCAGGTCAACCTAAGGCCAAAGCGAGCGCTCGCAGCGCTGAAGCAGTGCCGGAAGGAGCTGCCCGGAATCAGATTTTGAAACAAATTGGCTTGTGGATCAGGCGAGCTTTGGAAGGGAATCATCGAGGGTTGTCAGGCCGAGAATTGCTGCCTGGCGGATCCCGCTATTACTTCATTGCCCGCTCCTTCAGTGGTGAAGTTTTTGATCCTGCTCGAGTTGTTTCTCCGTGGGCAGTTGCAGAGAGAGTTGTGAAATATCGTGGTGATACTGGTGATTCAGTGTTTGTAGGATTGCCTAGGTGGGAAGATCGTATTGTTGTAGCTCAGTGGGCCAGGTTGGGACTCTCATCCGTACAGGATGGAGGAGGAAGTGCCTGAGACACCTGCCAGTGATATCGACGGTGAACCTGCAGATCATTCAGAGGTTTTGCGTGCAGCTCTGTTGTGGTCGGCAGATTCAGATCCAGATCCAGGATACCCCATTGCATGTTTTTCTGTTTCAAGTTCCGAAGGGGATTTGAAAATCAGTTGTATCCTAATTACAGAAGTTCAAAATCGTTTGCTTGTGGCCGTGCCTTTAGCTGCCTGGAACCGTACTTTGTCATCCCGAATTTTGCCAGCCAGATCTTTGTCGAAAGCCGTCAGCGTCAGCCTTTCTGCCTGCGAGCCTTTCTATCGCACGGAGCCTTTGTTTGGCATCCATACTAAGGCATGGGTAGGTTTGCTGAATCCCGAGTTCGAGAGTGCGGTGGAGTTGGAAAGCGACCCGACAGAAGATTTCCATTTCCTTGGAGAGGATGGCCAAATCCTGTTGCCTTTTGCTCAGGCTTTAGTGGAGGTGGCCGACGAGAAGTTTTGTTTTGCAACTGCCACGTCGGCAGCAGAGCCAGCGGCGCCTCTTCAGAAGGATGCATCCAAGGGAACTGCAGCCCGTCTAGGGCATCTGGAGAAAGCTGTGGAAGGCATTCAGACAGGGCTTTGACGCAGATGCAGAATATGCAGGCAAGCAGTGCTCCCAGTGCCGTAGGTCAAGCTCCAGTGCCTCCAGCCACTTTGGCAGCTACGCCAAAAGCTCGAGCTTCAGGAGATGTTGGGTCTCTGCCAGGGCTAGATCCCGGTGTGGTGCAGTCTGCTCTTCGTGCTGGCGTTCATCCAGACCATCTCAAGGAGTTCTCAAGGTTGATTGCGAGAAAGAGTGGCAAGATCAGCAATCTTCCAAAGCAGACCGACAAGAAGAAGGTCGACGTTTTGGGAGAGTCCGAGGACGAGTTGTTAGCAGATGGTGGAGGAGCAGCTTCACCGACCGCTCTTGCCGAACCCGGCGATCCTTTTGCCGCAGCCTTGGTGAAGTTGACGACGATCGTGGAATCGTTGTCGGACAACAGACGACGAACCAAGGACCTCGACGACATCCTGGACGATCCGTCTGGCTTGGACGGCGGTGCTCACAACCTTGTCAGCTCAGGCAATCAGAGACGACAAGCCGCCGTGTTGAAAGCTCTCCAGAAAAGTCTTTTGGAAAATCCAGAGCAGATTTACAGAAAGATAGAAACATTGATGTTGGAAGACTTTGGGTCGCGGGAAGCGATCCCAGGAGAGCCGACCCGACATGGATCCTTCAGAGGCTGGTTGGAGCATCGGTCTCGCATTCCCAATCTGAATGCAGCAGTTCGGACTTCATGGGGAATAGCTGGTGCTTTAGATGCATTGCGCAGTGGCAAGACCATGGAAGCCCAAGCCAGACTTGGCTTGCTGTTGGCGTCTCTGGATCAGGTAGCTTGCGATCGAGGTCAATGGATATTGGGTGCCGAAGTTTCGCTGGAGATGAGTCCTCCTTTTTCAAGCTTCAGCCGTCATGTCCCTCCAGAGTTTGGAGAAAATCCTCACAGCAGACTTCTGGATTCCAGATGGGTGGATGCGATGATGTATCGTGTGAAGGAGCTCGACGATTACAGCGAGCGCCGTGCCAAGCTCGGAAAGCGTGGGAAAAAGGAGGACGAGACAGGCGAAGACAAAGACAGCAAGGATGGCAAAGACAAGAAAAAGGGAAATGGCAAAGGCAAGAAAACAGGGGCGGGGGCCGAAGAGGCCAGTCCGCAAAAGTGAAAATGAAAGATTTTCTGCATGGTGCTCCCTCTGCGAAGTCAAGTGGGGAGGCTAATTCACATTTCAATGCGAAAGTACCTGGATCGGCAGCCTCTACAGTGGATATCAGGGCTTGGTGGTTCAGTTGTTTTCGTGTTCTCTTGCAAGCGGATGGCAACTTGCCAAAGTTTTTCCGCTCCTTCTTTCGAAAGCCGGTCACCTCTGGAGATCAGAGTACTGCTTCCTTGTGGCCTATGCCTTTGCCCTATCCTGCAGCGTTGAAGGCGACTGGTGGCATATCAGATGTTGAGCAAGGCGACAAGGCGTTTCAACTTGCTGTGAACTTCGCCGTCCTGCTCCTGAACTGGTTGCATCTCAGGCGTCCTG